TGTTCCTCTGTGAGGCAAGTACGCATATAGCGGAAGACATCTAAGTCTGTCGAACGTCTGTTGAATTATCTGCTTGCACTGGATTCCGGCAAGGATCTTGTTGACTGGATGTTGTAAGCAGATAGGGCGGAGTGCCTGAGGTTTGCTGGGGGATTTATTAGGTTTAGGAAGGAGGTGAATCCAACCCGTGGTCCAGTGAACCGGAAGGTGGATGGGGCGACTAAGCCAAACCTGATGAATCTGATGCATTAACGGATCAACAAGATCATGTGCGAAATGCTTCCAGATTAAAGCAGGCAACCCATCGGGCGCCAGGGCTTTGGTACTTGGCAGGTGCAAAAGCTTAGTGAACACATCCTGGCGGTCGAAAGGGAATTTGGTCAGGGGTGCAAGCTCTGGGGAACCAAAATGCGGATCAGCAAACAGGTTGGTGTAGTACTGTTCAATGGAAATCAACTCCTGTTGTGGTGCCAATGGCATGCCATGAGGATCAAAGAGCTGTATACGTCTCGTTTGTTGTTTCGGACACAAGAGCCTGATCTTCCGGTACCAATCAAAAATGCGTCCATGAAGGGCAAGATCAATACCCTCAGCTAGGATCGTGTGCAGTTTATCTCGTTTATTCTGTCTATTCCGCTTACGAATAGCTTTGTGGAGAGTTCTGAAGGTTGTGACATGAGCCCAACACTCAAATAGATCGCGAGTGGTGCGTCCTCGAATGACCAGAGCCTGTTTGCGTGCATTCCACATCCTGATAGCCATGGAGGGGATATGTGGAGCCTGAGGTACCCTTGATTTCCGTTTGGGAAAGAAAAGAGAACAAATGGTTCGAAGTTCTTGTTCCAAAGCATGCATGGAGACCTCAATCGGTTGGTGAGGTGGAGAATGTCTGGCTATGCACTGACGAATCTGGACCTCGAACAGTTGCCAGTGAGGAGTGTGCTCTGATCGAGCCGTACGAATGGCAAATCGATCTATGTTATTAAATGGAAGCATTGGTTTCCGAGGCGCAAACCACCTGGATTGGACAAAATACAATGGATGATGGTGAGGTCCAAGACAACCAAAATTTCGCATGAATTTCCTATCCATGGTGGGGTGCATACGTCGAAATTGAACCTGATGCTGTCGAACAAAAACATAGTCAATACGAGAATGATGGGATCCATGTTCGAAGGTCGATGCATATTGCTGTTTGCAGTGCAAAGCAATCAAGTCCTGTGCTCTCGTCAATTGTTGCAAAAGATCACGATCTGTGTGAGTGCTTGAGGATACACATTCATCTTGGATGTGTGGCGGATCGAACCTGAGGATGGTATTAAAATCATCCATCAAGATCATTTGGTGCTGCTTCGGAATATGATTCAAAAGTTGTTGCAAACTATTCCAAATCTTAGCTCTATTGGCGAGAAGCTGTTCTCGGCCCTTAGAAGCATGCCAGGCATGTTGGTAAACAACGAGGAAGTCATATGTGCAATCTAGAAAAAGACGGATCTAAAGGAGTCGGCCATCTGAATGCGATGCAGTGGCTATCTATTCAGGTCTTGCCAAGGTATTACGGATGAGCATAAAGATGGATGCATACTTCGTCGAGGAGTGAACGCAATATCATCCCTAAGACGTCCAGGTAGCACGGAAAAACCAATTTCCTGCAATGCTATAATGTCCAGGGGCTAAGAATTGCACCAATGCAAAAATTCTAAGAATTGCACCAATGCAAAAATTCTTCATGCACCAAAGAGTTCGATGCATTCTAGGTGATGCAACGAATACCAGGAATCGTTCATGGTATCTGCTTCTACATCATCTATTGTGAGTAGCATCGATAGACCTCTCTAAGGCGCCAAGGCACATCCGTAGCAAAGAGGTAGCCTTTGCGGTATGGCGTGTAACCATATTGCAAGGCTCGGAAATAGGTTCTTTTATATAATTTCTTAATCTAAAAATACGCGATCGAGAGCCAACTACGCCGTAGCCTCCTTTAATCCATACCTCTAATGGCTTCGTAGAGAAACGCATCGATAAAGTAAATAATAAATCTCCATTTTCATCCGGGAGTGAAGAATCCCGGACAATCCTTATGCCATCCATAATCCTGCTCGAAATAAAAAGGCGAAGCATTAGCATCCATAGGTCCTAAATTTCGAATCAAAAATTCTACCTCTACTTATCAAAACGAAAAACAACCAAACAAATACAATCATCTAAAATGTGTCTACCAAAAAAAACAAACACAAGGCAAAAAAATATAACGAAAATAACTACCGAAACTCGAGACTAAAATAACGCTTTCGTTTAATTATTAAATTCAACAAAAAACATCCTTCAATTCTTATTCCCAAGAAAATATATATAACATATTATATTTTACCTAAAATATACATAATTGTTATTTTCATAAAAATACAACCAATTTTAACCAAATTAAATATCAATAAATCACATAATTATACATATTATATCATATATAATTAATTCATAAATATAAAAATATCACCTTAACCCCTAATTCTTACGTACTTAAAAGGTATAATTCGAAGATATATATCGTTCAAATCGAATTTCCAACCATTATATCAAGAATTATACGCCAAAATAATACAAACCCATCTATACATAATCTAATATAATCTATAAATTCTAAAATTATGTATCTAAAATCGAATAATATCCGTAGAAAATATTTCTATATAAAGAACATTAAAGAACGAATCCTATTCTTAAGAATCAAATTAATCATTATTAGAAGAAATCAATCAACAAATAGTTTCAATTATATAAATATTGATGAACTAATTACCGGATTTATGATTCGAAAAATGCCATTGAACATTTGGTCGATATAGTATTGATATAAACGAACATGATTAATGGGATATGGTAAATCTGCAGCATTGGATGCAACAAATCATTTGGGCAGCGAAATCGAAACGGGCGGGTGCTAGAGACCAAATCCCCAAATTCCGTTTAAAACAATTATGAATCAAGACATAGAAATGGACACTCCAAAGCTTATCTTCTATAATTAGATTGACATCTTGCACCTAAACCACATGTAAACGCAGCATCCAAACAATGTTGTTGACCTGATACGCTTCCAGTCATATTACCATCTTGCATCTAACCCCAATGTAAAAGCAGCATCCAGACGACTTTCTACAAGACCAGACGACTTAACACAGGTACCCAGTATCTGCAGCCGAAAGATCTGCTCTATGAAGCACCCAGTTGCTCGCTCTTAATCGACCCTTGCTATAACCACTCCAACCATCGTCATAATGGAAACTGCATCACCAGTTGTGCCATGGAGGGCGCTACTTCGGGCTCGCTCCGGGCTCTCAAAGTTGAGACGCGCTCAGGAAGAAGGTGCGTACGGTCGGAATGTCACCAGCCCTGAAGATACCTAGGTTTACAGGGAGAACCTTAGTCATGCAATGGGGTCCAATCACATGACATCATGACGGGATGGAAGGCCCAGTGAGCGAGACGAACGAATCCCTCATAGCGATGGTGAACATGGAAAAGGACCGACAAACAAGTCTGTCGAGAACTCTGCCTCCAGTTTACAAGCGAGACAAAAGAGTCGCTCTATAGTATCTATAGTCTATAGTGTAGGTATGCAGGTACGTTATTGACGTGCCCTTCAATCATACCCCTGACGAATGGCTGGAGCTTCGTTGGACCAGGCCAAGCCAAACGTCCCTGATTGTATTGAGAAACGAAAAAGAGATGCCGAAAGGCGCCTTGTGATTCCAAAGGTAACACGCACGCACACACCCACCCACACACACACACACTTTCGTCTTATTTTCATTCTTCAAGCATTGAAACAAATCGCTCAACCGCTTTGGTAATCTCGTCCAACTCAGCTGGGGGGTCCAAGTACCTGAAACAGCAAGGCTTCAACTGCCAGCTGATCAGCCGTTCACATTTCGGCGACGTCAACGGCGACGTCAACGGCGATCAGCGCACTCTTCTCCCATCCTTCTTGTGGATCGGTAGTAATCTTCAATCCTGAGAGTGTGATCCCATGAGTCGGCTGAAGGACTGAAATGGATCCCTGAAATGATGTGGACTCTAATGGACTCTAGGCATCTTGGTGGCTATGCACCTTTGGAGGAGAGGCATTTGCTTGTGGAATTTGACCAATACTGTAGCGTACTGTGGGCATGAAGCCTCTGCCTTCCAGCTCCGAAGTAGGCATTTCGATGCATTTCACTATGCCAGGATGCATCTCTATCGCTTTCTCATCATAGATGACATTACAAACAAGCAGGACATGGCAGAACCCAAACATGTCGTTGAGTCCATCAAGCTACCAGAAAATTGACCACCGCCACAACACCCTCAAAAGACATCATCTCAGCCAACCAATGGAATTTCAGCAGGAAGGACAGTTGCATGTTTTGCAGCAAGGCCTTCACACCGTCCAGCGCCAAAGAAATCGGAAAAAACAACAATGGTTGGCATTGGTCATCTTTTGGACAGAACAAGTCGCTTGTGCATTGAGCATGCCAATCATCATCGAATCTCTCTTCAGAGTATCCTCACTTTAGTGTCACTAAGTGATACTTCAGGTCGTTGTGGAAAACCATCCGCTGACAACAATCAACGATCCTGCAAAATCCGGGTGCAATCTGGGCAAAGTGCAAAGTCTAAAATCCGGCCCATTTTTCCTTCATTGCCAAGCTGCGAAATGAGCTGTCCTGTCCCAGAAGACCTTAGCAGGTTGTAGCGCGCAAAAGACCTCTTGTCTCTCCCAGCAGGCCAACCCACTCCTAAGACTGGCTTGGTAGGGTGCCCGAGAGGTGTGTGTGGTGAATCAGAAGTCCCTTGATTTGAAAATAAGGACCCCTTACTCCGGTTTCACAAATACGCAACGAGAACTGCAACCCTTGTCGAATTGATGCCAATTCTCTTCATTTCACCACCCTCGACCAAAACGAACGCATGATGATGGAGCGGCAGTGCGAAGCAGGACTTAGGCGTCTTAGGGCTGTTCACTCGCCCTGAGCCTCTGACTGGCCAAAGCGACGCATCCTGGCCGGATCCGCTGCGAGGATAACATGAGGCGAAAAGCCGCAGTAGAAGAATTCCTTCGGCAGTGCCTTCGATTCTTTGTGCATTCAACGTACCAACTTGCGATAGGCTCCACCCAGTAGCGTCCTTGCTCCTAGTAGCGATAGCTTCCAACCTACTTGCGATACAAGGCAAAAAGAACCATCTCATCGTGCCGGCTAGACCAGAAGTTCAAGAACTCCACGAAAGTTGCCTGGCAAGCGCCACCGAGGTGGCCATTAAGTTAGCTCCTGCCTAGTTCTCTGAGTCATCGGTGACTGACAGCTAAGAGGGATGGGCTTGGCAAAGAACCAGCTGGAACTGCGCAAGGCCGATGACCAAAACTTTCGAAGGATAACAGCATCCCAAGTCACCTAGGTGCATGCCTAGGCCTAGTCTTCCTTTCCCTGGCCTGACAGCGTCCATGGGTTCAGTCGTCCATAGTCTTCCTGTCCATTGCTAAACATGCAACCATTCATTGCTGTTTCGCGCACCTTGCCAGACTCATCTTCATCGATCTCCCTCCAGAAGAAGCCTCAGCATGACATCGTACATCGCGACTGCCGGAGTGAAAAAGAATGCGAAGAAGCCGCGGGGCAGCTCAAAACATTGAATTCTACGAGCTGCCAGGGCTAGCCATGACGGATATTGACGGATGGCTTAGTGGCCACTTCCAAAAGCCACCCGACAAAGCAAATGGCACGGCAACATCCTGCTGGCGAATGTCTCAATCGGGCTGGGAGGCCGAGCGAATGCGAGATCGTGGAATTGAGAGATTCGGTGGAATGCTCATGACCTGCTGCATGATCAAACCAAATGGAACGCCCAATCCGTCCTATGTGCAGCCGATCTTTGAGAAACACAACGAAAAAAGATGCTACCATCGGCTGGAACTACTTGAGGTTCACAGGAAAAGGATTGAGACTACAGCATACGACTAGAGAGGAATGAGGAGCAAGAACGCTATTAGAAACAAGTGCATCGCTAGTAGTAACAAGTGCCTTACTAGTAGTAACAAGAAGCTACTAGGGGCTCCTGGCATCGCTACTAGGAGCAAGAACGCTATCAGGTTCGATGCAGGAAAATGTGTGTGTCGCATTGTGTCGCATCATTGAGACTACAGTGCATCCGCACAAATGTCTCCTACATCTGAAAGAACGGATGCTGAGGATTCGAAAAGGGAAAGGAACACAACAATGTAAAACATGAAGTTCTATTTACGCACTCCGCACACAAGCGCGGAAAACCAACTCATGCGCATGTCCAGGGAGTACATGTAGCATCTTGTAGAAACAGGTCGTGCTGGCTTCTCGCAAAACGTTCTCGAACTCCTCCTCATCGACCTGCATTGCAACTTCAAGCCTTCAATTGCTTCAAATTTCTTGGGGCTTCAAGCATGGCAATCCATTGCACAGGTACATCGGTGTAGATTGATGGAAGGTGGACTTGTAGGTTGAGCCAAGATTTCAACTCACTGGTTGAAGCGAATCCAATTTCAACACAAACACGGGCAAATTTCTCGGACACCCAACAAAAGTGCAGTTGAATCGAGTGTGTAATTCGTACAATTAATGAATTGCAGCTGGCATTTGAGACTGTTGTGAGAATATCAAAGCTTCATGATATGAATAGCTTCGTGGCCTAGGATGTCTGACAAGAAAGTACACCAACTACGAACGCCGCCCGGCCGGGCGCGCGAAGCCGGGCGGAAGGGACGTGTGGAGCACGCCTCTCCGGAATTGTCCAGATCGAAGGCAGCAAAGGATCTCCTACGGGACAATCCACATTGAACAACCCAGGATGCTACTAGGGGCTCCTGGTGCAAGGACGCTACTAGTGGCTCCTGGCATCGCTACTAGGAGCAAGGACGCTACTAGGGGCTCCTGGCCTTAACACCCTGTTAACAGACTTCTGGGTGAACACCCTCTTGGGCTAAGATAGCTTCTTTGAGGCGCAAGCAACTCGTAAAATGGACTGTTTTAAAGGCTGTGAGAGCTTAGGACATGGGACTTTTGCAGGGGAATCCTGCGGGGTACAATGGGTTTTCCGTGCTCTTTCTTTCGAAGTCAGGGTCCGAGGTGGTGGACAGGCTATGAACTCCTCCTAAAACGACATAGATATATCCCGGCTTCCAATTTCCGCTCCTTTTTTCTCTCGCTTCTGCAATTCTTCCCCCCCCCCCCGTTCTTCTGAATTTCAAGTTTACGTCCTCTTCTTCTTGGTCGTCCGTCCTCGACCTTTCTGAGGCGTTGTCATCCTGGTTTGTCTTCAAACGCACCCGTCCAGTTGTGTCAGGTCCTCACACGATCCATGCACAAAGCATCTAGGCCATTGAGCTTGGCCAAATTTCGCATCCGCTTCTCCTGCACCGAAAAGGAACGCAAGCGATGCCCTGCAGCTCGGGTCAATCGCGATAGGAATCTGATGGATCTGGAAACACATGATCGACTGCAAGCACCGAAGATGGACTTCTTCCGGCTCTATCTTGTTGCTCTATCTGTCATGCCAAAAGCCAAACACCCGTTCCAGTTGGCAAGTTCTAGTTCATCATAGTTCATCATAGTTCATCATACACAAGTCTGAATCTACATCATGTACGTTTGCAATCGTTTGCATGCCCTCGTCACATCACCATTGAATTACAAGGTCAGTGGGGCTGCTGACAAAAGAAGCATGCCTATGTAAGATATTCGAGCACATATGCGAGCAGCATGAAGGCCAGTACTAGGTGAAGGCCATAAAGTACTTGGTACTTCATCCAATTCCTTTCAACCATCTGATCAGCTTTCTGGGTGTTGAACAAAACTGTCTCCTTGTCATCAACCAGCAAATCAGTCATAAAGCCTGTGCACCTGAGGACATCAAAGTAAGAGTTGTCCGCTCCTGAACAATCCAACCAAAGACGCTGAGGCTAGGGACACCAGCAAAAGGCCACTTGCACGAATCACGACTCATCACAAAAATATAAAAAAGGCAATGATAGGAAATTGGAGAAACAAACACAACAAAAGTACATCAGACTGCAACAGTTTCTCTTTTAGTCTGGTAGATGATATAGATGTGACCCTGGCACAGCAGTGACTATCTTGGCCGAGTGGGACAGCAAAGGTGGCGGATCTCCTTTTGGCTAATTTGCCCAAAAGAACGCACCGCAAATACATCTTCTCCAGACATGATCTCACATTTCCGGAAGACATTTTGCAAGTCAGTCATTTCGCCAGTCAGCCATTTCGTAGGGTTTTCACGAGCCCTCTCTGTGGTGTGTTGGTTTCCTTTCTTGACCTAAGCAATGTGGATTCCAGCAGCCGAGCACTTTCCGTTCAAGAGGCGAATACCACACAAGGAAGTCTTCGAAGTTCAAGTCGAAGAGTCCATGAGGGACAAACCTCAGGCGCGTGTGATTTTGGGGTCCGCACCCTTGATCGCATCGGAAAGATAGACGGTGAAGAATATTTGAGCTCAACACTAAATACATGTTTTGGTTTGGCTCCTGTGCAGATGGGCCTCTCAAATCCACATTGCATGCTGAATGAATATGCTCTGGTAACATCGGTGAGCTTGGTGACCATGAGGACATGCTGAGCACGTCTAGCGAGGTTTTCACGCAGTCTCGGATGTTCCTCCTGTCCTTCTGTTTGCAAACTGTTATTTTTCCACACAAACTTCTAATTGCCAGGGTTCAGGATCAGCTTTTGCCCTGAAAGTAAGGACAAACACATCATGAGAACAACAAACAGGCTGCACCTCACACATCGATTTGTATATATATATATACATATATTTGTACAACAAAATAGAACCCGGCACCCTTTTCAAGAGTCCATCCAAGGGTGGATCCATGTGTGGATTGACTGTCAGATGAAGATCCCCTCCTTGCAGCAAAGGCTCCTAAGCCATGAATTCAGCAGCCTTGGACAACAAACTGTGTCCTTTTAGCCTTGACCATCCTTGACCCTTGAACCGAAGAAAAGGGCCAGGTCTCAGGCCCAATCACCCAACGATAGGTTCTCAGCTTTTGTCAACACCAACGTGCTGCTGGTTGAATGATGCCCACAAATGCTGCACTCCTGTCAATTGGATTGCGTTTTCTTGCATCTGGGGCGCTGCTTGGTTTGTCCAGACTGGATGCGGTTCTTAACAGTGTCCTCGTCGGGCACTTGCTCCTCCTCAGCGAGTGACGCTTTGTTTAGATTCACACCACCCCAGTGTCTTGTCAAGATGTTTGTTCCTGACAATTCAGGCTACATTTGCTGTCCCAAACAGGCACCCCCAAAAATCAACAGGCTGCCATTGTGTTCTTGAGGAAATCTCCCGGCAAGTCTGACAGACAACACCTAGGTTGGAGGCCATCGCTCTTAGGGGGAGCCCGTCACTATTAGGTTGGAGGCCATTGCTATTAGGTTCCTCATTCTTGTCCAGCCCCATCTTTGTCTTGGTAGAAAACCACATATGTTGAAGTCAGAAGCCCGAAACCGAACCCATGATGTCCCAGCTGCCATCAAGGTCTCAATGACCTTGATGATCTCATCGAAACTCAAGCGACCGGAGCCATCGCCATCGTGGTGGTCGAAAATCTCCTCGTCGGAACAAGTCTTTGGTCACCATGTTGACTGCCACTGATGTTTTCATAAAATGATAATTGAAGAATGATATGTTCATCTCAATGTCTCATTTGAGATAGAGCTGGACATGATCGAAGTAGAGCTGCGAAGCGGAGCTGCCAAGTGACTAGGTCGGCTCCCACTCTCTCGGCACTTCCCGCCTTCGCCTGCAGAACGCCCTGCAACGTCATATTCATCTCTCGTGCCAATTCTCAGCGAGAGGCGCGAAAGAACATGACCCAAATGACCATGGCTTCTCCCCAAATGAAGATGTCTGACCATCATCGTTCAACTTCCGCTTTGTTTACAGTGTATCATGGACTTGTCAGGCACATACCACTCCTAATTACCTCTAGCAACCCAGTGGATCAAGGTGTCGCTGGGGGGATCTGGGCATCTGCAGGCTTTGCTTTGGTTGCACATGCATTTGGAAAAAGCTCTGGTGCCGAATTTCCATCTATTATCCAATATCTGGTTTAAAAAACAACAAAAACCTACAGAGTGGGCGTATGATGACATTAGAGACAAACAGGTGCGCTCATCTGCCCCGTTTTGAGAAACTTCCAAAGATCCAAAGAACTAGAGAAGTGACAGGACTGCTTCTTGATGCCCGTTGAAAAGCCTGTCTCATCTTGGGGCTGTTAAGACTCACGATACATACCTCGTTTAGCGCTCCTTCCAACGTTTCAAAGCGAGGCGCTGTGCATTTGCCAAAGTGGCACCGACTCACCCCCACGATTCCTCAGCAAACCACTTTGAAACACTTCGGCGTGTCAGGGGCTCTGGTGTCTCAAGCTTTGGTTGAAAGAAGGCGGGCGAGTATGGGACTGCTAAGAACTACAAGAACATGGCCAGCGGATTATCATGAAGTAGAGCACTGAGGGAATCCTGAATGACTTGGCCAAGTCTTAAGTACGTGCCACTTTGTCCCAAAGAGTTGTCTTTTTCACTTCTCCAATGAGTGGCTCTCTCACAGCTGCCCATCAGTATCCTGCACTGCATGACAATTCCCTCACTTTCTTTCGTACAGTCCACATGTGTTTCTTTCAACAATTGACATGTACTGGATCAAACTTTCCGACAGTTGGAGGCCATTGCTATTTGGTTGGCGGCCGTTGCTATTAGGTTCAAGGCCCTTGCTAGTAGGTTGGAGGCCATTGCTATTAGCGGAGGCCATTGCTATTAGGTTAGAGGCCATCACTATTAGGTTGGAGGCCATTGCTAGGAGGTTGCAGGCCATCGCTAGTAGGTTGGAGGCCATCGCTATTGGGTTGGAGGCCATTGCTAGTAGGTTGCAGGCATCGCTTTTA